TGAAACCCCAGAAACGATTGTTTGTTTGGTGAAGTGAGTTTGAGTCAGTTCTTTGTAACTCATATATTTCCACGGTAAAGAAGTCCCACGATGAGCAGCAGCAGAACTACCATGATTACAGTGAAAATAATCCGTACTACCAGGTAACAATGGCAAGAGTTCTGTGAGTAGCTCTGAGCATTATGAGTGCCTCTTTGAAAGGCTGAAAGAAAGAAAAAACAAAACATGCCTAATTTACACTTCTTAGAGTTACAAAACCGAACAAATAGCAGATGGAAAGAGAAGCATTTGAATAGGCAATAAATATTATACTTAAGCTGTTTAATTTTTTAATTTTAAAACATACAGTCGATACATAATCAAGAGAGATGTTCACATCTTACATTTTAAAATTAATAAAACACTATTTAACAGCATTGCAAGAACTGTAAAATTTAGAAAAATCTAGAAAGAAGATAGATAGATAGATAGATAGATAGATTTAAATCTGAATTGTTTTTCATAATTACAGTTATTTTTATTTTAATATTTGGTGTTTGAGAATGACTTTTTTCAGTTTTACTGTCTTACATTTTTGCTGTGACTTTTCAGGTTTTTTCTTTTTTTTTTAATTGAGCCTAATAGTAAAAAATCTTCACGTCTTACCTCGGACTGCCAGCCAGCTCTCTGGAGATTCTCCAAACTCTGAGATATTGCACTTATAAAGCCCTTCATCAGACTCAGAAACTCTAGTAATGGTCATCTTGCCTGTGGAGCTGCTGCTGATGTGTCGGTCATCTTTGAAGAAATCTGCTATGTGGGCAGTAGGGGTCATGGTACTTCTACAGATTAAAGTCACGACTTCTCCCTCCTTCACAGGAACAACAGGACTTTCCAGGATCACAGCTCCAGCTAAAATATCAACAGACATTATTGAGAGTCAGCTGCTTTGACAAAATGTTGTCACTGTGTTTAATTTTGTCATTATTAAAGCAAATGTCTCATCAGTCAATCACAAGACAGCAACTTGGTGTATAGGCACTGGATAATGAGCATCAGAATGGGAGAAAAAATGTGATTTAAATGAGCTTGATTATGCTTTGGCTCATGACCGTCGCCAACACAATCATATCTAGGGTTTCTGGAGATGGATCCAAAAGAGAGAAAATATGCAATAAGCATCAGCTCCCTGGGTAGAAATACCTTGTTGATGCCGGAGGTCAGAGGAGAATGGCCAGACTGATTCAAGTGGATAAGAAAACAAAAGTAATTCAAATACTTACTTTGTTAAATTAAACTGTGCAAAAGACCATCTCTGAATACACACTGAACCTTGAAGCAGATAGGCTACAGAGCAAGAGAAGCCTCTCTGGAGGCCAATCCTGTCAGCTAAGAAGAAGCAAGTGAGACAACAATTTACACAGGCTCGCCAAAATTAGAAATGATCTGATGAATCTGGATTTCTGCTGTGATATCTGGATGCAGGGATCCATCCTGCCTTGTATCAGCAATTTTGCATGCTGCTCGCAGTATAATAGTGTGGGGAATATTTTCTTGGCACACATTTTGTATTAGTGCTGACTATGTCCATCCCTTTATGTGTGTGGTGAATCCATCTAACAGGACAACACACCTTCTCACAAAGCATCTTATATTGGTTCTGTGAACAAAAATTCAGTGGAGCCCCTTGTTGCAGAATGGAAGATTCACATGCACATGAAACATCCACTGCAACTGTGTGATGATGTTTTTCATCATGTCAACATAGACATATTATTGTAGGGTCTTTACCTTACATTATAAAACACCTTGAGACAATTGTAGTTGTGACTTGATGTTATATAAATAAAATTTAACTCAATTGAATTGAATAAAAGGAATTGAATATAAACCAAAATCTCTAAGGAATGTTTCTAGCACCATGTTGAAATCTATGGCGTCAAGGATTAAGGCAGCTCTGAAAGGAGAAGAGGTCTAACCCAGTAGTAGCAAAGTAAACCTGAAAAAGTGACTGGACAGAGCACCTTTTTTCTTGTTTGTTTGGGTTTTACTCTAACTTATCTAAGCTTTAATTTACCTCTGACTAACTTTTTGTAACACACGACTCGCTTTATTGCAGGTGATACACATAGTTTAAAGCTCATGTGTTACTTGAGTGAATGTTTTTTTATGAAAATGCATATTACCAGTGACTGTGATGTTGACAGTGTTGCTCCTCTCGCCTCCAATCTCGCACCAGTATTCTCCGCTGTCTGTGAGATAAACAGGTTTGATGGCGCAGACAGACGCAGTTGTTGTCACCCAGTTACTGACACATGCACTGACTTCTCCCTTTCGTCTCCTCTTTACAGTCCATCCAGTTTCGGGATTAAGACCCTCACAGTTAATTGAGAGGGAGCTATATTCAAAGAGCTGAAGTCCAGTGGGAACAATCTGAGCAAAAGCTGTATTTGAAATGTAAAAATAACAATGATAATAAAATAAAAAGAAATGAGTTTGACAATATAGTGATATTTTGAAATATATGTAGGCTACTGCTGAATAATAATACGTTAGTGACTTTCTTTCTTTCTTTCTTTCTTTCTTTCTGCTTTTACGTCTGTGTTTTTCTTTGCTTTTAAGTTGATAATAACTTACACCTGTCCTGTGCATAGTTATGTTGAATTTGTGAAACCACCAACACCAAAAACGCTGTCACTGTAGAGATGAAGAAAACATAAAAGGGTCTTAGATTTTTTTAAATTTTAAGTTTTTTCAGCAAATAACTCCATCAAACAACATGTCATTATCAAATTAGGAATTCAGAAAGGGAGGATAAATTGTCAGGATAAATTACTACATTTTACAAGAAGACAAAAGTACTCACACAGTTTCTTGCAAAGAGCTGTGAGCTCCATGGTGTCTCGCTAGTGACTGTATTAAAATTAGACTGAAATATAACTGAAAAAATGTAGGTTAGACCCGCCTCTTCCTGTGTGACTGATGGATACCACTAATGCAAAAATAAACTTCGGCTCAGGCTGTGTCACAAAGGGACCCTGTTTTATTATCTTCGTTTAAAACTTTGTTATTTGGGTCAGAGACTTTGAGCCTTTTTTCAGTTGATAAAGGGCAGATATGTATGATATTCCAACAACTTTGTGTTTAAAAAGTATGATAGACTAAATAGTGCTTTGTTAGGTATGAGCTTTTAAAAACTGGCTGCTGGCATAATGGAAAGTAGGACTATTACTATATTATTAGGCCTGTTAGTCTTAGTATTTTTGCAGCTAGACCTCTGGTCGCGTAACATGTAAGCTGGTGGCACCTTTACATGATGCAATTCCAAACAAATCTGACTAAGCTATGTAACATGTAGTTAATTATAGAATATTGTATTATAATTAAGCCTTGATCTTTTATTTAACCAACACTTTTTTATATTATATTATACTATTTAGTATTATAACTGAGCCTTGATCTTGTCCTCATTTAACCAAGACTTTTTTTATATACATTTTTTTAAATGTTGTGTTACTGTAACAATTAGGAGGTAAAGAGTATTCTTATGTTTAAGTGGAAATCCTCAATCGAGTCCACTATTAAATAAAGCAACTGCATACTAAAACCTGCGACAACGTATGATGTCAACACAGTCTACTGGGAAGACAAATGTAAAAACAAATTAATTTTGAGCAAGAGAGAAACACTTATAACATGCAGCCAAAATTGATAACCCCTGCCCTTTAAAATCACCTTTTATCCTAGTTGTCTCTTTGTGGTTCCCATTGGTGTATGGGATTCCTGAGTAATTTTTAGCTATCCTCAGTGTTTGCTATTTTACATTCTGTTAATGTGGTCCACTCAGTCCTGACTACCTTAACTCTATTTGTTAACTGTTTGTTAATCTGACTACAGTTCTCCAGTCCAAATGACATTATCCAAGTGTCCAAGTAACACCTCATTCTGAATAAAGAAGAAACAATCTGATGTTGATTTCAGTAGTTCTCAATAAAAGGTTTACCTTCCATGTAGTTGAGCCAACTAGCAAAACTGCCAGCAAGCAATCGGACTGACAGAACACTTTTGGTGAGAAAATGTAAAAAAAAATTAGGTGATTATTTTATTATAAGTGGTCTGTCATTCTATCTCTAAATCTCATTTTCTTTGAAAGACACATTCTTATTGGGAAAAATGCATTTGTATTAATATGCTAGATACTTATATTTTTTTTAAACTAAAATAAACACATTTTCTATAGAAGGTTTTTAAATGTCTTCTCTATTACAAAAACGTATATGGTTACAGCAACTGAATATTTTATTTATCTTTGAAGGTAGGAAACATCAGGCTGGGCACGGCCAAAACAACGAACAAAAAATTCAAGTAAGGAAACTGAACCAACTTTCCTTTCGTGAAAATCCAAAAAATAATCCAGGCCTCTCATTTGTCTCCCTAACCTGAACAGGAGAACAGGTTTTAAAAGCCATAAGCTTCCTACAAAAATAGCTTCCAGATCAATCAACAAAAGAGTCTATTTACAATATTTACAATATATAGAAAAATAACTAATCTAGTTCTTCTAGATACAGGAACGTCATCACACACAGTACATAACTCTGCACGAAGTAGGCGGAGCTACACTGGTCCTAATTTACAGGGAGTTTCATTCAATCGATGGCCAGCCTCCACCTGACACAATATTATCAGCCCCAGCCTCCACCTGGAACTTTCATAAGGAAAAAAAAAGAAGAGAGAGAGAGAGAGAAAATTAACAATGCCACCATCAGGAGTGAAAACAATAAACAAAATTATGACCTGGGTCATAACACCCCCGATTTAAAATCAAGCATTTCTACCCCTGAAGAAATGCTCAACCTAAATTCCTACATGGCATAGCGCATCTGACACAATATTATCAGCCCCTCTACGATTATATGATGATAAATATCAAGGTTAAAATCTTGCAGCAATATGGACCAATGCATGAGGCCCTGATGTTATTGCGCATGGGAGACAGGAAATGTTGCAGTGCTAAAAGTAATGCTAAGGTTTCTTTTTCATTTGTGCTGTAATTCTTCTGATGTGTGTTGAATTTCTTTGAAAAGCAGCACACTGGGTGAGCAACCTCCTGGAGAAGTGCAGCACCTGCACCATAAGAACTTGCATCCACCTCTAGCTTGAAAGCACAAGCAAAATCAGCAGCAGCCACCACTGGAGCACTGCACAGCCAGGCTTTGGCTGAGTCAAATGACTCCTGACATCCAGAAGTCCACACAAAAGTGTCGGCAGGACTTGATAAATCAGCTAAAGGAACAACCAACAAAGCCCAACTTGCAGAAAGCAGGATAGTAGCCACACATACCCAGAAACCGAAAGCCAGGGTTCAAGCCATTTTGGATTTTCCTGTACCAAATGGCACACTTGCTCTTGACCTACTTGTTTTCCTAGACAGTTGACCACAGCTTTGTTAGACTCACATTTTACACGGTTTAAAGTCAAGCATGCACTCTCTAACCTGGTGAAGCATTCCTGCAAAGTGTCCATGTGCTCTGACCATGTTGATGAATAAACTACAATATTATCTGAGTATACTTTGCAGCTACTGACACCAGAGAGTACTCTATTTATCAGCCTTAGGACATTGGCTGCAGCATTTCATAACCCATATGGCGTTACAGAATACTGTAAGAAGTGGTCCGGTTTCACAAAAACAGAGTAAATAAACAATGCGACCATCAGGTGTGGAGGAGCGAAATCAATACACAAAATCACGACCTGGGTCATAATATAGCATAGAAGATATTTTATCATTACTCTTTTATTCAAGTACAATAACTGTATTCTTGTGCTAACAATGACAAGCTTGTATTATCTTGTCTTATCGTAATATCATGTGAATTGTATATCAGTGATTGCATCACGTCTCAGTAATTCTATTGTTTCAAAATTGACACACTTTGCTTAAATTTTCTTTTATGAACTAAAGCAAACACTTTAGACAGACCTAAATGAAAATACACACTCAGTGGTTAGCACTAACCTTAGAGTGTCTTCTTATAAACTGCATCAGTTCTTGTAAACAGTGTTTTCAGTTGTGTGAACAGGAAGACTGAACTGAACAAGGTTAAACCACTAAATCTTCAAAACAGACCCTGGTGACTCCGTAGCTTTCACATGAAGGCAGTTATGGACAGTAAATTAAAACCATGTATGTCTATGCAAAAATATATTTAACAGACAAACAACTGAGAAATAATAATGAAGAAGTTTTGTTTTCCACATTCCTATTCAATTTCAAATCTTAGCATCCTGTTGCTCTTGTACAGTTCTATGTATTCCAGGAGTTATAGGCTTTATTGTAGTAAATCCAGCCAGTGCACAGGTTGGCAGCTTCATGTACTCTTGTGGAAAAAAATGTGTACCTCATGATTCAGTAGTTTGTAGACCCTTTCTTACCAGCAATAGCATGAATGACATTATCCATGTCTTGCATTGTTGTGAAAGAGTCTTGGCCCACCTTTCTTTGCAACATTGCTTCACTTCATTCAGGTTTGTGAGAATTTATTTATGCATAGCTTGTAAGGTTTTTTATGTTGTAAAGTTACTGGTGTCCTTGTCCTATTGCATGACTCAATTTCAGACATGCTTTACTTATCGGAGTGACAGCCTTACACTTGACTCTATGATGAGGAATTTCATCACCATGCTTGACAGTCTGTATGAGGTGTTTGCGCTGATATACAAAGTAGCAAAACTGATATGCTGATATGCAAAACATGGAGCTGTGTATTATTGCCAAATATTTTAGCTTTTTTTTCTATTTTATCCAATGGACATTGCTCCAATAGTCTTGTGGCTTGTAGTATCTAGGTATGAACACAAAACTGACAACACAACACAATGATAAAAACCAGCACAAAGAGACTTCAAAGCAATCGTACAGTGATTCTACTTTAGAAACACGAACAGGTAGAAACCTAGCAGTTTAACTGCTAATCTTTTTTTTACCTTTTGAAGTTCAGGGTCTGGCTACTGGCCTGGGGTCAGCATTCATTCATCTGGGTTTTTTACTAGCTTAGTGTTAAGCATGCTCTCTGTGCAGATGCTACAAAGAGCTGATGTTCTCCCACCCCTACTTAACCCTTTAAGACCTACCATAGAACCAAGTCCGCCAGAGCTTATATTATATTTTTACATGCTGTGGAGCCATTTTTGGGAGCATTTCAAGTTGCTATACATCAATACAACCATTATAGCCCAAATTTTAATAATATGTCTGCATTAGTGCATAGTAATTACATAAATTGCAAAAAAGTGCAATAAACTACAAAAAAATTGAAAATCGTTTTTGTTTTTTTAACATATATTTCTAGTTAGAGAAATTTAAGAGGCTATCCCTCAAAACTGTAAATACAAAAAAGTTGCACAAACTAGTTTCCCACCACAGGAAATTTATTTTGAGTGTCTTCATAGTTTTATTTTTGAAATACACCAATTTTTATATACTGCAGGAAAAACGAAAATAAATATTATAGTGCAAATTTGCAAAATAACAGCATATGCATCAAAATAAACTATTTCCAGCAGTGCAATATGAGTCCTAAGCATCCCAGAAACGACACAGAAAGTCATAAACTCAAACATAACTTTTAAAAACACAAGTATAGGCTCATAAGGCCCCGATCGTAAAAAAACTACATTTCCGCAAAATGACGTCACTTCCGGTTTCGGGCAGGTCATGCGGTCATGTGATAGTTCGCGCTGATGGACGTAGGAAGTGTTACAAACAGCTGATCGGATCGGCGAAGCGTGTTTCTGGAATATCATGTTTTTGTTGCTGCAAGTGATTTTTATGCAGTTTTTGCAAAGCTATATGTGGAAGGAAACTGTGACCTAGGACAAGCTGATGGCATAAGATGTAAGTACAACTCC